TTTGCAAAGCTAAATACAGTAGTTCAGCTCCTTTTTGGCTGCATGCAGCGTCAGAACCAAGTGGCAACGCTGTTCAGGGAGCCGTGATATCGTGTGCACTAACTGAGCCGGGTCCAAAGGTTTCTGAAGGCAGTAGAAAGGTTTCCCCTGATTGTAATGGCCATGAGATATCACTGAGAGTAAATATGAGACTGGGTTTAGTGCTGCTTCTTCCTGGTGCTGTTCTACAGCCATGAACCCAGTGCAGGAGAGTGACAAATCTGGAGGCAGATCCTCCAAATCCCAGAAACCGAGATGCAAAGATGCATTTTTTCCTTGCACGTGGAATTAGCATGTGCATTCACTTTGGAGGGAAAACCAGTGTTTGCAACTCTGATTCTGATTAATTGTGAGACAAATGCAGCAAAACCCGTAGATGTTTAGCTGCAACCCTTGATGTTTAAAGCACTGACACTGTCCCTGAATTCTCCTTCTTATTAAAAAAAATAAAAAAAGACACATGCAATACAAAGCTGGAGGTCACCGTAACGTGAGAGCGGTTGTTTTGAATATGCACCTGCAGGGATTTCAGAGGTAATGTTTTTTGTAAGAGTCCCCACTTTCCGTGCCTGTTCACAGCAGTGAGGAGCCTTCCCAGAGCCATTCCCTGAGGGAAAACCTTGAGTCAGTCGTGGCTGAACTAGAACGGACCGTCTCCGTCCTACAGAGACAGGTAAAACGTCATACTACAATGGGGCTTTTCCACCAACCCACCTTTATGAGCAGGTTTAGGTGCCCTGGACAATCCCCGGGAGGATGTCCTGCAGACTCGGTCATGGCTGATATGGCCGGCTGGCCCTACTAGAAGGAGTGACCAACTCTCAGGGAGAGCAAGAGGGTAGATAAAGGATGGAGGCAGAAGGCTACTGTTGTTTCGGAGCCTTTCCATCCCTCCCAGTTCACCAGAAGGCCTCCACGATGGGATTTGTCCTCTGCATCCCATGCTATCAGCTTTCCCTGAGACCCAAAAGTCCAGAGGCATGCTCAGGTCCTATGCGGTGGCAGGACTGAAACTCAACAGAGGCATGCTCAGGTCCTATGCGGTGGCAGTTCTGAAACTCACCCCAGCCATTTCGTCCTCTCCAGAGCGGCCCACGGTGGGGTTAGTCTTGGAGGGGTGTTCAGGCTTCAGCGCTTTGGTTTGGTAGCAGGATTGGTAGGAGTTCCTGTCCCGGGGTTGGTGATTTCCTTGCCCTACTCATTGCAGGTACATGCATTGGAAGGCCAGCTGCGGTGGCATCAGAGGAATACCAGTGCCTACGGATGGCGGACAAAGACCGGAGAGAAATGGAGAAAAAGATGACAAGCTTGCCTGCTCCAATGAGGTCAGCGGGTGTGTATGCCATGCTGGGGGCGGGGGAGAAGTGCTTATACATGCATCAGTGCAAGATTATAGGTCACGTAGACTTAACTTATCATGGCAGTCTACTAAAATGACCCCCAATCTCACAGCGTTTAAGGGATCTCTAGAAAACCCTGGAGGAGATGGACGTGGGGGCTCTCTCCAGATTGCCAGGTTATGATGAGTTTCCAAGCAATGTGACAGTATCTGGAAATGGCAGCTAGCCCGTGGACTCCTGCTGCGCCCCATGCCACAGCAAGACGGCTGGGAGCACAGTGCCACGTGACCTCCATGTCACTATGTCCATGGGGTAGCCGTGCATGATAGAAAACAACATGGGACCCCCTATTTTTGAGGCGCTCACATCCTTAAAGGAGAGAGACACGTCCTGGCTGGCAGGCAGTACTATGTAAGGTGGGGCACCAGGTCCAACCATTAAACACATCACAACTCGGGACCCCCACGCTCAGGGCTGGTGCTGCCTGTGCACGACTCCAGGGACAAAGATGGACAGGTTGCACTGGGCATCTGGGACCTGCTCTGAGCAGACAGCAAGTGCTTGGGGAGCCTGCTCAGAAAGGAGGAGGTTTGACATAGCTCGGTGCATTCACAGCAGAGGCTGGATACACAGAAGGGGCTGCTGATAGCAAGGGTGGCAGCATGCTGCAGCAGTGCTGACAGGTCCCTGCCCTGTTGTGCTGGTGCTGTCCCAGTAACAAAGGTCCCTGCCCTGTTGTGCTGGTGCTGTCCCAGTAACAAAGGTCCCTGCCCTGTTGTGCTGGTGCTGTCCCAGTAACAAAGGTCCCTGCCCTGACCTGTTTGCCATTGAGCCATTCTCTTCCCACCACAGGTGATCTGGGCACTTCTCCTCCTCCTCCCAGCCAACCTGCTCCACTCCATGAAGGATCGGTAACTGCCAGCCAGGGAGAACAAGCAGCTCCACCCAGTCTCACGCCTTCTTCACCGCTCCACCCAGGGCACCCAAGCTTCTTTCAGGACCTGATGTTACACTGACTTATTCACAAGGGCTTTTGACCCTCTTAACCCTCTGGGTGCACTCCTCAGCCTCGGCTATGGTGCTCTCCCCAGGTCTGCAAAACCTCCATGCAATGCCCTTGGATGGAAGCAGACCAGCAACCTGCCGCTTTTCCCCAGCAGAGCCCTGGCTCCAAAGGTGGAGACGAGGGAGAACTGCTTTGACGTGTGCTTTCTTCCTGCCATGCCCATCCCACCAGCTCTTGCCACAGACATCCTGGGAGTACTGCACGTGCAGCCATCTTAGCCAGCCCTGTCAGCAAGGATTTGCAAAATCTGATTTTTGTGTGCACAAGTGTCCTGGCAATCTTTGGCTGAGCAAATGAGACGTTCAGAGTGCAACCAGTTGGGCCTATTGTTAATGCAAACAGTGATGGAAAAAAAACCTGGGTCTGTGGGAAATATTTCTACCCTGAGAATGCAATGCCAGAAATAGGAGGGATTTTGTATTTACCCAGGATCATTTCAATTCTGGTGGCATCTCCCAAACTGAATTGCTGAGTGGGGGAATCTACTGCTTCCAACTCAACCGCCAAAAACCTTGGCTTTGCCCTGGATGGTGAGCTCCAAGCGTCTCCCCTTGACATTTTTAATTGGGTGGATATTTTCCATTCACCTTTTTGTCCTGTAATGCCTTTTGTTCAGAGCTATATTTACAGTGTAAACATAATGGGACTTGAAGCAAAACCTCAGATAATTAAATGTAATGGCCCCGCTCGTTAATTCACGGGGGCTGTTGTGTTCTGTCAATTAACAGCGAGGCGAGTAGTGTACGCGGTGTTTGATGCCTTAATGAATGCAAAGTGGTGTTTGTATTTATTGTTCCCAGGTGCTCTGCAGCTCTGCAAGAAATATGTAACCAGCTTTTTAAAATCTTTTTCATGGTGCTGTTATTCTTTAGAGGTGCTTATTAGTGGTGCTACAACTTCTGTCCAGGGGATGCCATGACCTCCCCCAAATCGAGGACAGATTAGTTTTGATGTGTCAAAGAAGCCAGTCGCAGAGGTCAAGAGAATATGTCCAAGTCCTTCACTGCCTCTGGCTCTGTTCCCTCTCCCACCCTGTGTCACAAGGATCATAACCTCCTACCGAAGCGCTGCTGTTTTTCTCCCGTCTTAGGGGTGTGATGCTTCCCGAGGGGATGAAGCAGCCATGAGGCTTCTGTGAGGATGTGGAAATGTTATAGGAAAATAAAATGATGCTAGAAAAAAGTTGTGGTTTCCATCTGTTTCGTGGCGTGGGGTTTTGAGCTCTGCGTGTGCGCACGCGTGCTCAGATGTGCGAGTGCAAATTCAACGCAGCTGGGCTCCGGTGCATCCCTAAGTGACATCCGTGATCCCCAAGAACAAGCCAAGATCCAGGACTAAATCCTCTGGTGAGTAGTGAATGGCTGGTGATTGCATAGACACACACCTGCCCCATCCTGCTCTTGCTTGTACAGCAGCATGAAACAACGCAAGAAGCCCGGCTCCAGGGAACATCCTCCAGGGTCTGGAAAAGACCAGCAATGTCCACTCCCCTTAAGATGCCCTCCACAGGGCCACACCAGCGGGGCTGCACTTGCAACCCTCTGCCCGGTGGAGTTAGGGAGGGACCTGTCCCTGAAATCCTAATATTCAGGTTGTTTTTGGGGCAGGCAGTTTTACATCATCAGAAGCTGGGAGTGGGACACGGATGGGGCCTTGATGCCGAGGTGTGCGATTTCTGTTCCCTAAGCAGTCTCTTTGCATTGCCTTTTTGTCTGTCTTCAACCACCTGAACTCTGATGATTATAAAACAGGCAAAGATCTCAGTGTGATCGACTGAGGCAGCCCCTCAAATAAAAGGCAT